GTGTCAGATTCCTCGCATCACCTTTCAACATCTCATAGAGTCAATGCCAAGAAGAATCGCCGCAGTATTGAAGGCAAAAGGTGGCCCAACGAGGTACTGATGGGGTGGTCATAATAATCTGGCCGGTCAGTGTGTATTCTAATGCTGGGCTCACTGATCTTCAGAGGCTGACTGTGGTCATTGACTGGACATGGCCGTAGGGAGGGTCAGGAGACCTTGGGCAGTTTACTTAACGTCCCCGAGTCCTTCCCTCCTCACCTCCACAACGGGACAGACAACCGTGGGAACCGGTGGGAAAGGGCCCCCAGGAAGGTGGGGTAGATCTTGATTGACACGTGACACAATGTGAGCTCTCTGCCCATTGAACTTTGGAAAGTGAGCTTGACTCCAGATCCCACATGCTCAGAGTCTGGGCTCTGCTGTCCCCACGTTACCACTGTGGTCAGTGACTCGTCTGGGGAGGAGTGAGGCGTGAAGGGCATCCTGCACTTGCCAGCAGCATGGTTAGGGTTAGGGGAGTGTCTTTGCTCGGAGCTCCCGAGACGGGAGGCTTCAGGACATAGGGAGAAGCGCTGGACACGGAAGGGAGGCCAGGAGATGAGCGTGACTGGGCTGTGGCCCCCTGGGTTCAGAAACAGGCTGGCCGCGTCCGAGCTCGGTGGCTTGTGGAAACACTGGTCAGCGAGTTGGTGGGCAGACTCCCTGGCTGCCTGAGTGAATAACTTACTTAGGTTTTGTATCAGCTGCTGCTAGCACACAGCTCTCAGGAGCCCCACTTGCAGATGTGGAAATGGAATGTAAGTCAAGGGCTGTGCGGCCAGGAGGGGGCAGAGTGCAGGGGCCTCCCGTCCGCCCACCGTGCAGGGCCTCAGGCCATGTCATGCCCTCAGAGCCGCTTGCTGGACGCACAGTGGGAATGCGCTGTCTACATCAGAATATGAGGAAGCACAGAAAACGGCAAGTCTCTGGAAATAGGAGACAGTTTACACACTTCCTCTTTACCTTAGAGCCTTCTCCACCAAAGGAAGCCCATCCCACACGGGTGTCGCTGCACTGAGCCTGGAGGCTGGAGCATCCCTACTTGTGCCCAAGCATTTGCTCTGGACCAATGCACGTGTGTCAGGAGGGACCCAGCCTCTCTTCGGTTCGCTTCGCTCCTTGACCAAGTTAGCACTGTCCCTAGGAGGCCAGGCCTGTCTGGCTTGGAGCCTGGGAAGGGACGGCTGGGCTGCTGGGCACAGACATGCATTTTATGGGGACCCTTGCAGGCTATTGATGCCGCCTCTTGCCAGTGCCAGGGTGACTCCCTCGAGGTCACTGCCATTGGCTCCGCTCAGCTGCCTCTGATTCCGGGGGAGGTAGGCTGAGAGACCAGCTCATTTGAAAGAAACCGAATAGGCCGCACTGTTTGGAGCCAGGAGGGTCACAATGGCTTGGCACTGTTAACCCAACTCATGGAGAGATCTGGGAAAAGGAACGTTTGAAACTGGCTCTGTCTTTCTGTGAAGGCAGGCTGTGGAAGCTGTTTCTACACCAACTAAGGTCTCATTCATTCATTCGTTCATTCATTCACGTACTCAACAAATATTCATTAAGTGCTGACTCTGTGTCCGCTGTAAGCACCGAAGTTAGAGAAGAGAAAAAAACGAACATATTCTCTGCTTTAATGGCGGCTGCTTCCTGGGGGGGTGAAGATCTGTAGTAAACAGACGAATAAATTCATGGATGTGGGGGTGCTATTGCAGTGAGGGAAATAGAGCAGGGATGGAAGAGGGTGGCGAGAGGGTGCGGGCTGTTTGGATGGAGGTGGTCAGCCGCCCTCCCCGGCAGGAGGTGTGGCTCAGAGAAATAAGGAAGGACGTGAGCCTGTTACTCTCTGGGAAAGAGCGGTCAGGCCGAGGGGATCACCAGGCAAAGGCACCAGGCAGGCGAGCGCTGGGTGTCCTAAGGTGGAGGGGCTGGACGAGTGGAGAGGGACAGCCCCGGGACATCACCCTCGGCCGTGTTCCAGAAGAACTGGGATTTCTGCCTCGTGAGCAGCAGGGCTGGGTGACTTACGTTCCTCTCTGGTCGGGCACTCAGAAGCTTGGGAGATAAACCGTGGCCCAACTCATAACTGCACGTACCTAGTGGGGTAAACTTCTGCAAAACACATGTACACATACACACACACATGTGCGTGCACCCCCACCCCGCTTCTTCCTTCCTATGTGAGCCCTGTTTGTTTCTTCTTAAACCTGATTGTGTATCTTTTCTATAGCTTATAACCTGTGGATTTTTAAAAGCCAAATTATTTTTGAAACAAAGTGGATTATGTTTTAATTTTAAAAATGAACTGCATCTTTGTTTAGCAGCATTCTCTGCCAGTAGCTCAGCCTGGGCCGGGCACAGTGCCTGCTGCACGGAGGTTCTTAGGGACAGTGAGGGGCCCACGCGGGCTCCGTCCTGGGCGGGGCTCACCGCGGCCCGCACTCGTCACGCCTCTGCACACGGAGCTGACAGAAGGCACAGCTTCTCAGGTACATATGTGCATTGTGATGTCATAGGATAAGAGCATCAACTATTTGCCCTGGGGTCTGTTTAATTATTTTTAAAAATTAATTTTGATTATTACAGCTGATTACACCTCAGTGAGCAATGTAATTGATATTTTCTAATGTATCCCAAGGAACATTTTGTACAACACGCTTTTTGTTGTTGAAGGTTAAAGACTCCGTTATTGGTTTTTCCCTAAATATGCCCACATCATCAGTCCCTCCAGCGAGGTCGCCATCTGGAAAAGGCAGCGGAGACATTACTCAGGCGCAGTGCGTGAAATTGGCGTTTCGGCGTCTTCTGTCTCTCCGTTGTAATTAAGGGAGCTGGTTTTGGAGGAAACATTATTCATTTGGTGTTACTCCTGATCATGTCAGCAGCTGACAGCTCCACACTCAGAGAAACTGTTCCTAAGCGCGGGGCACGCCTGATCCCTCTTGCTGCTGGGCTCCTGGTGGAAACATTTCCTCCGGGCGGCTCAGCGGGCGAGGCCACGGCCGGTGTGAGAGGCACAGCCCCTTCTTCCTCTTCCCGGGCCCCTTCACGCCCCTCTGGGGCCCTGGTGACGAGGTCTCTGCCAGGGCACAGGCTGTGGTGCCAGCCCATTGGAGGCTGGGGTCTGGGCTCTCCCGGGCGCCTGAGTTCCCAGCATGGAGAAGGCCAGGGCTCTGCCCGCATCCTCACCGGCTGGGCTCTGACTTTGCTAACCGCGCAGCTCCAGATGATATTGTTTATAATGAATTCATCAACAGCCAGTGCTGGTGTCTTAGTTTTGCCTCACACACCTTGGCAATGGTGTTGGTCACCATGGGAAACCGGGGAGGGGTGCGCAAGAGCTCCCTGTTCTATCTTTAGGACTTTCCTGTAAACCTGAAGTTATTCCACAATATCAAGTGTGTCGTTGTCTGTTTCTCAGAGTAGCAAATGGAAACAGTGCACAGACATGGGCACTGGGCCTGGGGGAGGGGCTGAGAGGGTGATGGCGCCTGGGATTGGCGGTGCGGTGGGTGAAGGAGAGCATGGGGTCCGGTGGGGGAGCCGTGGCCTACAGGTGGCGGTTAAGCAGGGGAGCAGCACGTTTCTGAATGTCCAGGTTAGACTGGA